CCACTTACAGGCTTGCTGTGATGCTGCTTAGTCTTACCTATGTGCTTGAGGGAGTTGAATCTGGATGAAAAGGTGTGCTGCAAATATAAGTTGCTTAAAGAAGGAGCATTAGCATTAATAAATGCCAACGCAGGTCTAGTTCCATTCTAAATTCTTTCTTATTTCCAGCTGCTGTAACGTACAGTTGAAGGCGTAAAAATACATATCTTGACATGGCCTAAGGATTTAGCCTGAAGTACAGCTGCTAACACAGATGTTTACCTCATCATGCAGACATGTTTACTTCATTCTGGTTTTGAAAAAAAAAAAAAAAAATCTGCTGATTCAACCAGTCTTCTAGAGAGCTTTGCTGCTTGTTGGAACCTCAGGATGTTACAGAGAGGCTGCTGAGGCTCATCTGGCTCTGTTACCCCCTGCTGCTGTTCCATGTACGCACCAGTGATACTGTTGGGGTGACCTGGGAAGTATTATGTGTGACTATATGGCTCTGGGAGTGATGGGCGTGGGGACCCAGATGGTGTTATCCTTGATCCTGTCAGTAAGATGGAAGGGCATGGAGGAGAATTGGGTGAAGTAAATGAGACCTTCTTCAGACAACTGGAAGAAGCCTCATGTTCACAGGTCCTGGTCCTCATGGGGGACTGCAACAATGCTGATAATCTGCTGAAAGGATAACAACAAGGTACAAGTGATCTAGGAGATTTCTGGAGTCCATTGATAATGACTTCCTGACACAAATGATTGAGGTGCCAACAAGGAGAGTTGTTCTGCTGGACCTGATCCTTACAAGTAAGGAAGAACTGGTTGTGGATGTTCAAAGTTAGGGGCAACCTTGGCTGCAGTTACCACAAGGTGGTGGAGTTCAGGATCCTGCAAACAGGAAGCAGGACAAAAAGCAGGATCTCAGCTGTGGACTTCAGTGAATAGACTTTGGCGTTCTCAGAGGCTTGGAAGAATCCCTTGGGATACAGTACTGGAGAGAAGAGGGATCCAAGAAAGCTGATTTGATACTTAAGGATCACCTCATCCAAGCTCAAAAATAGTCTATCTTGACAAGCAAGAAATCAAGCATGGATCAAGCAAGATGTTGTTTTCCTTGACTTTGGTAAGGCTTTGGATTCTGTGTCCCATAACATCCTAATAGAGAAGCAAAGTACGGGTTAAATAAGTAAACAGCGAGGTCGACTGAAAACTGATGGAATGTCAGCACCCAGAGGGTGGTGAACAGTTGCACAATGTCCAGTAGGAGGCAAGTCACTAGTGGCATACTCCTACAGTCAAAAATGGATCCAGTTCAGTGGCTTCGTTAGTGATCTAGATGATGGAACAGGATATACCCTCAGCAAGTTTGTTGATGATACAAAACTGTGAGGAGTGGCTGATACACCAGTGGGTAATGCTGCTATTCAGAGAGACCTCAACAGACTGGAGAATTGGGCAGAGAGGAACCTCATGAAGTTCAGCAAGGGGAAGTGTGAAGCCCTGCACCTGGGCAGGAATAATCCCATGTAACTGTACATGCTGGGCACCAACTGATTAGAAAGCAGCTCTGCAGAACAGGACTGGGGTCCTAGTGGACAGCAAGTTGAGAATAAGCAGTAATGCGCCCTCGTGGCAAGGATGGCCAACAGCATCCTGAGCTGCATTAGGAAGAGCATTGCCAGCAGATGGAGGGAGGTGATCCATTCTCTCTGCTCAGCACTGGTGAGGTCACATCCAGAGTGTCAAGTCCAGTTTTGAGCTCCCTAGTACAAGAAAGAGATGGACTTACTGGAGTGAGTCCAGCAAAGAGCCACAAAGGGTATGGAGCATCCTGTGCATGAGGAGAGGCTGAAACTGAGCCTCAAGAATGGAAGGCTGAATACAAGGACACAATTTTTTGCAATGAGGGTGATAAAACGCTGGCACAGGCTGCCCAGACAGGTTGCCAAGTCTCTGCTTGTGGAGCTATTCCAAACCCATCTGGACGTGGTCCTGGGCAACCTGCTCTAGGTGACCCTGCTTGAGGCTGGACTAGATGATTTCCAGTCGTCCCTTCCAACTGCAGCGATTCTGTGAGCTCTTTTTCAAGTTTTGGCACTAAAAGCAGCAAATTTGAAAAACAGGAACTGTGAAAAGAAGAAAAGCTTATTCAGTTGATTACTCTCATGCTAAAGGGATAGAATTACTTTTTTGATTTGTCCCAGTGTAACTATGGTAGCTAATGTCATCTAACCTTCGTAGCATTCTGGAGTGAGAAGGGTTGTTTTTTTTTCTCCAGCTCTTTGCTATAGCATGGGCCAAAGGAGAGTGCAGTAATGTTAAACAAGCAACAAAGTTTCATGGCAATACAGTCACTGGTTATTGCAACAGACACGTTGTGCTTGAATTCTTCCACAGAATGCAACACACTTCACCTCAGGCGCTTCAAATATATATGGCTCATAGAAAATGTCAATGCCCTAGAGAAGAAGGGGAGGAAAAGTTGTTATGGCAAGTGAAGCATTGCACTTCCCCTTCAGTGTGCAAGAGCATAATTTGCAAAAATATATATATATGTACACATACAGATCACTGCATTTGAAATGGAAGAAGTGGACAGGATGATGTTTGATAGGCAGTTCATTCTTTATATTATGAAATCAAATGGGAAACACATCTTAGCCAAGTGTATGCCTTCCTATAAAAAGCTTTGCAAGTATTGAAATTTATACTAGGTTAGTTTTTGGTTAGTACTAACTGGAGAGGATTCAGAATTTTGCCCTTGTATGTTGCCACTCCTAAGTTGGGGCAAGTTCTCAGAGTATACATGGTGAATTGTTTAACGCCTCTGTTTCTTTAGAGATCCTCACTACTTACTGTAAGGAGGAGCAAGAAATTGAATCCGATTTTAAAATGTAGCAGCACTTAAAAGGAAATCTCTGCTCAAAAACTGCAGGGTTTTGAGTCGGTGAGTAACAGCATACATTTACTCAAAGAGTGCAAGTGGTTGTGGGCTGTGTTCAATTTCTGCATTAGCTGTGAAATGATCTGAGGAACACACTTCAATCGCAGTACTGAAAGCAGTGTTAAGTTATACTTGTTAACGAATATTTTATCAAGTTATGATCCCCACATGCTTATTACTGCTCAGATATGCTGTTGATTGGTGTTCCTCTAGTACAAAAATCAGTGGTTACAGTTTAGGGAAATGGTGAGAGTGGATTCAAGTGGATTTGTGCTGAAGTAGATAAGGAAAATACAGATGAGCAAGTGGGTGCAATAACTTTTTCCACATATCTTTGTATGGGAACTTGTTAAACTGACTCCAGCCAATCCACAAGTCATCTTTCTGTGCCCTTGGGATGTTTCCTGGGCCATTGGCTCTGTCTTTCCCTCTTCAAAGAAAGGGGAATGTATTGCAACAGATTTTAGAAAGCCTTCAGTATTTTTGCCTTGCAGTCTGTGCTTTTGTGTCTTGCATGCAGCATGACACCTTGATACTGATTGATGTGTATTTTCAGGCTTTTTGTGGATGATTGCAACTGTATAGAGAGCTTCTTATTATTTTTGAGGAGGAAGTAATAAGTTGGATCAAAGAATGTATACTGTATAATTTATCCAAAATGTTCAGAAACACTAACTTTATTAAATGAGCAAAAGCTTGTGTTTGTTCTCTACTAATTTAAATGAAAGAATGAAGAATATATGCACTTCTTTCCATTTGCAGCTTTTTTAGGCTTCTTCCTCCTCATTTTTTAATATAGTTCTATAATTAAAACTTACTTGTTCTTACTTTATGAAAGAACATTCATGGTATGTAGATCTTTCTTTCCTTTAAATACCTTGATATCAGAAATATGTCCTAAAAATATCTAGTAGCCAAGCTTAAGAGAACTATCACACTCAACATTTTAATCAGATAATTTTTCCCTTTGGCACAATTTGTGCTTTGCATTCTTCAAGTTCTTTAGTTGTATGAGCCTGTACCTTACGCTCTCCAGAAGTGAATAATGGGGCCTTAAATTTGTTGTTGCTAATTACAGCTTGCTGATACTCCTTTTGTAGCCAAAATGGATTTGAAAAAGATCTCGATATAAGTAAGAATCTAGTTCACAACCTGCAAATTTACCTGTTGTGGTTTAACCCAGCTGGCAGCTAAAACAACCATGCAGTCGTTTGCTCACTCCCCCACTCCCAATGGGATGGGAGGGAGGATCAAAAATAAATAAATCATAATTTAAAAAAGTAAAACTTGTGGGTTGAGATAAAGACAGTTTAATAGGACAGAAAAGGAAGATAGTAATATGCAAAACATGTGATGAACAGAGCAATTTCTCACCACCCGAAGCTGATGCTCAGCAAGACCCAGAGCTGCCCCACCTCCTGGCCCACCCCTCAGTTACACATGGAACATGATGTCATATGGTATGGAATATCCCTTTGGTCAGTTTGGGTCAGCTGTCCTGGCTGTGTCCCCTCCCAGCTTCTTGGATGCCCCTTGCCTTCTTGGCAGGCCAGTGTGAGAAGCTGAAAAGTCCTTGACTACTCAGCAACGACTAAAAACATCATTGTGTTATCAACATTATTCTCATCCTAAATCCAAAACACAGCACTGCACCAGGTGCTAGGAAAAAAATTAACTCTACCCCTGCTGAAACCAGGTTACCTATCTACAGCAGAAATTCATCATGTCTTACTAGGGTAGAGCTGATTTTTACAAAAGATAGCTATATAATTTCCTAGGGTCAGCACTATTTTAAGCAGTCATTTAAGGGGAAGAGGGATTAGGAAATGGTGGTTAATTTTTCAGGTTTCCATGAGAAAAATCCAGTAAATAGGTCATAACTCCTACATCTGTGCTCTAGGTGACACAGCTTTCATTCCTTACTGGGATGAGGAAGCTGTGAATCTGAAACTAGAGTACTTTCTCCTTTCTGCTACAAATAAAAATATAGCAAGGCATTTTCAAGAGAGAAATCTCAAGTTTGTGCTGTTTTCTCAAAATAAAAAAAAATGTGTTCACTTCTATTTCCAATTAGAAACACACATCCTGGAAGAGAAAAAAGACGACTTTTGTGTCGAGTTTCAGTTTCATCAGAATTCTCAAAAAAATCCAGAATTTTTCATCCAGGCAGAAGCCGAAGCACTGAAACTTTCAGATTTATCAGTAACCAGTCAAAGAGGAGCAGCTCCAAATGATTGTAATTCCAGTCCTGAAGAATCAAGGTAAAAGCAAATATCCCTATATACACTTTTTTTTAGATTCAAATTATAGACAAAATACATATGGATTTTTGGATAAAGATAGGGAAGTTTACTTCCTAGCTGAGAATCCGTAAGTCAGCTTTTTGCTTAGGCTCACCATATCTGCCTTTCTTTCCTTGTGGAATGCAGCATTTCACCACTGTATTCTCTAGCACTGATAGAAAATGGTGGAAGTGAGTAGGAAGCAGGAATAAAGCAGGGTGAAGCCCCTATGAAGTTGGAAGAGTAAAGATGAGGAGCTGTAGTAGTAGTACCTTGTAGGCAGTCTGTGACAGGAATCTGGAGAAGGGCAAATATAGTTGAAAAGTGTAATACAAACTCTGGAGATTTTATTCTGTCATTTATTTTGATCAGTTATTGTCATTAATTTCCATACTGAGCTATGGCCCTCTACTCCAGTCTTAAGAAACTTATACAGTCATGCTATATGTCACATAATATATGAAGGTATACCCAGCTGACTGGGGAACATGCTACCAGTATTGAGCGACTTAGGCATTCTGAAGCCCAAGTCTTAACCGAAGAGTGACAGAGTTGCTTTTGAAAATGGGATCAAGGCTGCAGAGCCCTATGATGTACTTAATTCTTCACCTGTCTGGCAGATTCTACACCTGGTTTTGTTATCTTCAGCATGATCTAGTGGTGACCCATTGGGCCCAAACTAGTCCATCATCCTTTCCCATCTGGCTTGTTGCCTTTTTTTGCATTGGGGCCTGAGATATCCTGTTAGGGTGATGCATAGAATCATAGAGTGGTTTGGGTTGGAAGGGACCTCAAAGATCATCTAGTTCCAACCCCCCTGCCATGGGCAGGGACACCCTCCACCAGACCAGGTTGCCCAAAGCCCCATCCAACCTGGCCTTGAACACTTCGAGGTAGGGGGCATCCGCAGCTTCTCTGCGGTGCCTCACCACCCTCACAGTAAAGAATTTCTTCCTAACATCTAATCTAAATCTACCCTCTTTTAGTTTAAATGCATTAACCCTTGTCCTGTCGCTACATGCCCTTGTGAACTGTCCCTCTCCAGCTTTCTTGTAGGCCCCTTTAGGTACTAGAAGGCTGCAATAAGGTCTTCCTGAATCCTTCTCTTCTCCAGGCTGAACAACCCCAACTCTCTCAGCCTGTCCTCATAGGAGAGGTGCTCCAGCCCTCTGATCAACTTCGTGGCCCTCTTCTGGACTTGTTCCAGCAGTTCAATGTCCTTCTTGTACTGGGGCCCCCAGAGCTGGACGCAGTACTCCAGGTGGGGTCTCACAAGAGCAGAGTAGAGGGGCATCCTGCACTAGAAGCCAAATACAATCTTGAGTGCTTAAGTACAGCCCAGAACAGAGTCAGCCAGAGATTGTTGCTCCTGCCTTTCACTGGTGCCACTCGTATTGGCAATCAGGCTGGTCTTCAACACTGAGATTAACCTGCCACAGCAGTCAGCATGTTGAACCATCTCATCTGCAAATACATTGTGTATAGGATCCTAAAGCTATAGGCCAAAACCCCATTGTGGTAGATACTATATAAACGGCACAAAATCTGTCCTTCCCTAAATAGATTGCAGTTAGAATATAGGATGAGAAAGTATCTTGAGATAGACCAAACCAGGAAATATTGTCAGTGTGATTTGCGTTGTAGGTGATGGTCTTTGTTGTACCATCAGTGTGACTTGTCAAGTTTTCTTTTAGTGATCAGGAAGAAAACATTTCCCTTCTAATCCATTCGTCTACTGATTTTGCTCCCATCTGACAAGTGAGATCTGTTATCTGTGAGTATCAACAGATGGCCAAGGAGTTTTATAGGAGACTTAACTTGAGACAGAATTTTTGTTGCCATTGAATCTTGTCTTGTTTTTCCCTGTCTATGGCTAAATAAGTTACCTTAAAACTCTATGAGCGCTATACAGTATGGAATTCCTGTTGTCAGTTATAATATTTAGAATAACACTATCATTTTACAGATTTCTGCAAGATGAGCTCCTAGATCTTGTCTTCTGGATATTTGAATTTCACTTCATGTGGGATTATCCATCCTACTAAATAACTTGGTTTATTTTAACCTGAGCATCAATTTTATCCCCAGATGTTTCATTACTTGGTTGCTCTGTGTTAAGCACAGGTTTTAAATATCTGGTTAACTTAAGTGTTTTCTGTTTATAGGCTTCATAGCTAATTTATATTAATCTGTTTTATGCCTTAGCATTGTAGTATACTTATTTACTATTCCAGATTTACAGATTTCTTTCAGAATTTCGGATTTAAGAAGTGATAGAAGGACATCCATTTTACTGGCTATTTAACACATTTACAATGGTTAACAAAGTTTTATAATTTATTTCTGTGTATTTTATTTCAGAGGGAGGGGGCAGAAACTGGTTTTGCATTATTTTTCTTTCTTTTTTTTTCCCCTCCTAAACACAGCACCATAGAAAGAAAGGCTTACAGGATGCTCCCTGAATTTATATCCTCATGGAAAGATGCTGCAGATCTAGGTGGAAAAACAGAAACTGCATTCCTTTTAAAAGAATTGGACACTCTGAGGGCCAAAAATAAAAAGGTACAATTGAGATATTCAGATCACAGTATTTGCTCTTTTATGGTTGTCTTACAAAACATACATTTTAAACTGTTCCTAATTTAGTTTTGTTATTTATTTTAGTGCACAAATCAATAGCTTTCTTGTCATTTTGGATTCTTAGTGATTGCTTAACAACTGCTTCTCTGGAATTAAAAAAAATCTTTCATCCTACCCTTTGACCTTTTTAATCAGTGACATAGTTCTTGCATCATGGGTAAAAACCAAGGAGGACCAAAAACAAGGCTGGAATTTCATTAATAGAAGCTGGAGCTCACGCTTCTGTACCTGTGGTCTAGATAATGAATGTGCCCTGATACCTTCTTTTTGTTGAGGGGAAGAAAATTCCATCCTACTTGCACGCTGCATTGCTTCTAGCATTAGTAGCGGTTGCACATGCCTAAACAACAGAACAGTCTATAGTCTTTCCATGAAGTGCCATTGAATATTCAATGGCAAGCTCAGATATCTGTCCAAGAACAGATTTAATGAATTCCCAATTAAAAGAAGGGGCTCAACATGTGAAAGAATATCACTTTTCTATCTGGCGATGCACATGAAAAATTATGCATTTACATCACAGTGCCTTCAGGCTGTGATGTCAGTACTCTTGGTACGAAATAGACTATTCATGTAGGCACCACCATTCCATGTAATTCTGAACTTCATTAGTGAGAAGAACCACAGCTGGTGATACTTGAAGAAGACAATCCCAAATTAAAAAAAATGGCACATATGTTGCTGCTTGTCTTGCAGAGCAAGATAAGGTAGATGTTAAAAATATGTTTTTTATAATTTGTTCTTTAAATAAACTTAATTAATTGAACTTTGGTTGTATTGTTTAGTGTTTGTATTTTGGGTGTAAGAAACTACTATGCAAAATTTTGTTGTGGTTAAAAGATCTGGTTGATTGTTTCAGCTAGATAAGAATCTTATTGTCCATTTGTTCAATCCAGCTTCAAGATAAGTTGTCTGAAAAGGACAAGGAGCTGAAGACAATAAAACTGGACTTAGAACTGCAAGACAGAGCTACAGAAGCTAAGATTGCAGAAAAGATTGCAGGTACAGTAGGCAAGCGTTTAACAGATGGCTGTATGGCTCATACAGTACCCGCGGTTGCTATATGACGTGGCCAAGTGAATGTTAGCTTTATTTGCTAAAGGAGGGAAGATTTGACTTTTTTTTTGTGTGTGGCTGTTTAGAGTTGCTTAGAAAATAGGTGGCTTTAACATCCTGGTACTGGTATTAGCAGGAGCTTTACCTGTATTCATACTGATTTGGGCATTAAATGCATTGTTAACACCATGTCAATCCAATCACAAAAAGGTTGTTTGTTTTGTTGGAAGGTCCTGAACAAACAAGGGGAAATAATGATTACCAGTGCCTCTACCTTTCAACCAGCAGTTCAAATACCACTTATTGTTTTAGCTTGTTCAGAGCAATACTACCCCCTCCCCGTGTATGGAGATAGTCGCACATTCACCTCAACTAGAGACCTGCGCTTTTCTTGAAAAATCTGGGGTTTTGGTAGTTAATAAATTTTTGTCTGATGATGGTGTGTCTCCAGTGAATGAAGTCTATACAAATTTGCAAAATGAAAGGTTTTTAAGTTTATAATTGAAAGTGAATGCACGCTTATGTTTGTTGTTAATTGCTCTTTTGGTAGACATACAAGAATGGAGACAGTTTGTGTTCTATGATTTCAGAAATTTCTAAAGTAATGAAGTTGAGTATTTTTAATATTGAACAGTGACTTTGTGTACAGTGTACCCAGTGGATGAAAAATATTCTGAAGTTTCTCTGAAGTGTTTCAAAGAAATTAATGGGAGTGGTTTTATAAATTCTTCATATCATTTGTTCATAAATAGTGTAAGCTAGGTAAAATTGTGTCCTCACAGACCATGCACACTTCATATAGTATTAATAGTACTAATACCTGTCCCCAAAATATTGGTACTGAAGGGAGGAGTAACTGTCTTCAGGAAAATGGAGCAGAAAATAATCTCTCCAGCTGAAAAAACAGATGGCTGACTTTCCACTTAATGTCAAACTCCTGAGAATACAGTATTCTGTGTATATTGTAGGTGGAAGAGAGAGTTCCTACATTTTCTGTGGTGGAGGAAGGGAGAAGCAAATCTAATCTGCATATTAGGAAACATTGAAATATGGGCATAATTTTATTCTCATTTCATTTTACATAAACTACTTGCTTTATTTTCAAAGAAAAAAAGATCCACACTGCGTATCATAGTTACATCCAGCAGCCGAAAGCTAATGCAAATTGTTTTGGTTTAATCCCAACTTTGGGGTTTGTTCCTGGATATTTGTACAGTGTTTTACCTCTATACCTATAATAGAGAAATATTCTCTTTGATATAGGTGTTCATTGCACGTTAAAACCTAGAAAGAAATGTGTGTCAAAATGTGTGTCAAAACTTGTGGCGAAAATGTGTTTAGCTTCATTTTTATGGATACAGTTGAAATATTTCTTGGTAAATTGGGTTTTTTTCCTACATTGCTGTTTAAACTTTCTAATTATATCCAAAGCTTAATATTCTCTTCAAAACAGTATGGCATGTATATGGATATAATAATTAACATAGTTATTCCATTTTAAAAGGAAGAATAAACCAAATTTTAATGAGACCTGCAATGTGTAAGAAGGATGACCTTTAAAAAAATACCCTTTTTTCTCCTTTACAAGTTCAGGAAGTATAAAATCCTTTAAATGCTGAAAGAGAGGGCAAGAGGCTCCTTAGTACTTAAGCTGTTTGCAAAAAGGAAGCATCGTTAATATTTCATGGGGCTTTTTTGCTTCCTGTCTTACAGTTCTAAGAACGTTACCAGGTTTGGATAAATGTTTTGAAATCTGGAATGATGTGAACCAATCTGAATTTGTGGAGATCTATGTGTGTGTGTCTCATAAAAGCGTTGGAGAGAGTTCTGGTGGACAAGCAGGACCTAATAAAGAAGATTCAGTGTGTTTAAGGAAAAACGTTTTCCCCTTGTGTGAAGTCCTTTGATGAAAGGAGAACACATGCTGTTGTGATTTCATGTTGCCAGTTAATGTTTAATTACCGCACTGTATAACACATGGTAGGTGAAGCTTGTAAATATGGGTGTTTGCATTTTTATTATTACTTAGTTCTAACTTTATGATAAGAAGATGACTCCACAAAACTATATTATAAAAACCATCAGAAAGGTACACCATAAAAATGTTATCTACTTTGAGGAATATTACAATTCTATTTTCAAATGTAACCCTATAATTGATGGGCTTTACCTAAACAAGTGCCATGGAAAGAACAGAAAAGCTGAAGACAAAGGCTATTTTAAAATGAAGCTACAACAGTCTTCAGAAACAAATAACCCAAAGCTTGTCACTTTATGATTTTTACTTTGTTCAGAGGAAGAAGTGAAGAGGAAAAGTGTAAATTTGTGAAATGCTTTATAAGAGAATAAGAAAACATAGAGTTAATGCAGAAGATATACATGATGGAAAAGAATGTTTAATATTGTGTGCAGTAAATAACTTCTTTTCAAAAGGTGTTTATTTTTATATTTTACTAGCCTGGAAAATGGATTTTAGAAATTCCTTGGGTCCCTAACTCTGTGTCAGGTAGCTATGGCTAAGGAAAATTAGGGAATTCACAGTTTCAGTTGCAGGCTTTTAAGCATTAGTTGCAGGCTTTTAACCATTGTTTCTGGTGGTCATAGCTGCCACAGGTTCCTGCTGTTTCTTCATTATTCTCTTTATAAGCCAGTGTCAGAGGGTTCCATTAGTTTCACTCCCTATCATGAAGAGAACAACAACAGAGCTGGAGGCAACATTGGGGAAAATCAAGGGAAGAGCACATCATAGAACTGAGACTAAAATTAATGTAAGGGAAAAAGGGAATGTCACATGCGAAGTGGGCATGAAGAGTAGACAAATTTTGACATGTGGGACTGCAGAATTTTCATGTATTTAACAGAAAAGGGGATGGGTGCACTCTGGGAGAGGAAAGGGAGAAGGAGTATGCATCTTCTGAGGACAGACTGGAAGATAAGGATGGAGGCATTGCAAAGGAGAAAGTCTTCAAAAATAAACAAACTAGCAGAGAGAACAGATCTCACTTTGGATGGACATAAGAAGTGACTTCATTTTTGCCTGACAAAAGAATTACACAGGGGATATATAGAAACTTTTAGAGGAAGGAGCTGGTTGGGTGTAAGCGAGAACTGTAGAACATAGTGGTAGCCTCTCTAGACTGGAAAAAAAATATCACAGCCCTCGTCTTCTCACAATAACTCCCAGCATTACTGCAACGGGATTTATCATAGTTGGCATCAGAGCCTTGGCTCTTGGAATATTTTTGTTGCTATCACAGTGCTATATTCTGGGAATAAGAATAATTCTGAAGGAAAATATAATAAAAAATATTTCCCCCTAAATCTTTCTGTAGAAAGGGCTATTCTGTGGGGTTTTTTTGCCAGTATCTAATAGCAATGTTACCAATATTTAATACTTTTCTTAATCAGAGTCAACTCAGCGGGAAGAAGTGGATTGAGTCCAGCCCTGCTAGGTCTGTTAGGTGTTGCACACCACCTTTAATGCCTGAACACTGTATTAGCATTCTGCAAATGCTTTCTGAATGACGAGGGTAATGATAGGAAATAGTGTGGAGAAAAGGGAAAGCAGCACTTCTAATACTGTTGTATATGTTATACAGCTTTTAGTCTCTTGGAAACTACAGCAATATACCTACAATGAAGTCCCTTTTTTCAGGTCTGTTTTTACAAAAATGTTGAGAATTAACATTTGTGGTATGCTGCTGAGTGTGGTATGGAAATGTTCATGAACATTATTTGAAGTTTCCTAAATTAACTTCAAAAATAATTACTGAATGCATATGCAATAGTTTTAATAGCAAAAGTGAAAACAAATATCCAAGTGACTATTAGCTTAGAGGTAGTTTGATTTAATATCCCATAAAGTAAGAGGAAATAAGTAATCTTGCCAGTAATATACTTTGGGTGGCAATAACTTCCAGCACAGAAGTAAAGTATTTTCCATTTCTTCAAAGCTCACTTTAGGGTCCCTTTTTAGATGTTATTTTTCTTTCTTGCATGTCATCCATTAAAGATTAGCTGTGGAAGGTTGGAGCATGGAGAGATTATGAATGACAGAACAACTCCTGCAGAATAATAATCAGTTTTTGGTATTTAATGCTGTTTGACTTTTGCAGACACATTTCTTATTAACCTTTGGTACAAACAGAAATCCAGGTTCCTGATATCTCATGGAGAAGATGAATTCAAGATCCTCTTCCAATTAAACTGAAATAAGGCCAATATTGGGCTTTAGCCAAAAGAACTCAATAGTTCCCAACCCTTGTGTTTATAAACCTAAATATGAATGATATTTTACAGTTTAAGTAGGTAGTGCATATACTTCTCTAACTCAGTTTTCTGTGCATAATTCATTTGTATATATAGTCTATCTAGTTCTTAGGGGGGTTGTCCTATTAATGGTTCATTATGCAAAACAATTTCCTGAATATTTTTTCAAAATATTTCCTGGTAAACAACAGAATTTTGAAAATAGCTGTAGGATTTGAATCCTCTGTATGGGAAGGTAGACAATCCATCTAAAGGAGAAAAAAAAAAAAAAAACAAACACCAAGGTGGAGGTGTTGTGACTGAGAACATCTTGGCTTAATTTTTAACAGCTTAATTTGAAACAATGTAATTCTACCTTCAGATTGTCAGAATTGTTGATTGTCAAAAGTTGTGTGCAGTTCTTTGAAGTACAATATACAATGAGCTGGCATAGGTTAAAATGTAAATTACTGAACTATTTTTGGGTGGAGCTTGTATGTAAAAAAGCAAACCAGTATCTTCTGCATATTTTTATGATTAGTCTGGCCCTTCTCTCTTCCCCACTACAGTGCTAGATGAACATAAAGAATTGGGCTTTGGTCAGGAATAAAAAAGTCTGCAAAAAATCTACTTCCTGGGGTATTGCAAAAACTTTTCTTTAACCTGTCAAATTATAACTTGCAAACTTTAATGCAACATTTATGTTTTTCCTCCTAAAGTAAATATTCAGGCGTCAGCAATTATTCACTGAAAAAAAGTTTAACAGCATTATGGTTTGAGTTTTCAAGTCAGCTGTGTTTAGTGTATTAGAAGCAGAGGCTTAAGTATTGTACAGGGATTGGCTTTCACAAGAACTGCCTTGGGGTCTGTGTATAATACTCTCTCCTATTCTTTCCCACTTTATTTTTTTTTAATTGAATTGGGATCTGAATACACAAAGAAAACCCTATGCAGAGCTGCCACTAAGCAACTTTAGCCTTTTATTAAGAACACTGTTTATAGCATTGGAAATGTAGGAGCAGATGAATGCTATGCATTAAATATATACAACAAGCACAAAGCAATAAAGAAGTCACTGTGTTCTATCAGTGTTTGTTCAGATTGCTTTATCTATAAAGTCACATTTGGGTGTAAATGACTTGTAGTCTATAATTCCTGGTATAGACTGGTGAAAACTCTGCAGTAGTTTTCTTATGATCTTCTTATCACTATTTTGCTTTTATTTTTCAGTTATAGGTCATAACTGAAAGTAAATGAATGGTAGCTTTCAAAAAAAGAGCTAGGAACTTAAGTTGTCTGTTTCATAATAGAGCATTTCAGCACTATTTTTAAGTCAACAGCCCTGGAGCTCATGGTAGTTTGCCATTAACCTGAATGAGAACTGTGTAAGGGCCTTAGGCTTTGAACATTTCTAGGGATTATCTGCATTTTGTAACATGTATGCACAGAGACCAATTAATGACACATTTTAAAAGCTTTGATAGCAATGCAGTAAATCTGTTTTTTTGTTTATTTGGCTATGATAAGACTGACTTCTTATTTAAGAATTGTGAGCACAGTTATTAAATCTAGTAGAAAGACGTCTCGGGATTTTGATTTCCAAAATGACTGGATCACAAATACATACATGTTTGTATTTCTGTAAGGAAAACAAGCATATATCCATGTGATTAAATAAAACTTAATAATAGTGGCCCATCTGGAAATGGCAAGGGTATTTTCCAAGTCCTGTGATTAGACAGAGACCCAGCAATGGTGGACAGGAATGGGAGGAGTGATGAAATGAAATGACAGCTAGTCATTGCACCTCTTTTCCCAGTATACTTCCCCAATTCCTCACGTTCTGTAGCTGCTACTCAGAAATCCAAAGTGAAAACACAACAAAAATCCCTAAAAAGCTTCGGTTAAACCTCTCTGTAGGATAAATTTCAGCTGACAGGTTTTTTCTTGGAAGCAATCGAGCAGGATAAACAAGAAGCTCATTACAGGAATCTTGAATTCTAAGTATGACCTGGCCAAGCAAGTTCTTTCATGTTTCTGTTTTTCCTTCAGAATAATATACATCTCCAAAAGTCAGAAAACAGAAAATATTCTTTGCTTCATTTTTCTCATGAGTTCAACATTCACTCCTGTGCTAGAGCTGTGTACCTGTATGAAACAGAAGTCAAATCATGCAACAAAAATTTTTTTAGTTATTAATTGTTATTATTTGAGTCAATTCTTGAATATTTAAGATGCTCAGAGCCTTTTTTTGTAAAAACGTATAATCTCATTTGTATTTCTTTTGTATTGTTGCTGTAATGGTGTGAGTAACTAGTAAAATTAATTTGAATGTACCAGAATCAATGCCAAAGAAAATCCCAAGTCACTTTATTGTTCAGCAACCACTGGTCTTGAATACTAAATTTTAAACTGCAAAACCCTGACCTTCTGCAACAATACATTGTTATTAACAGAAAAACTTCCTCGCCATGTCTTTTTCTTGGAAGTAACTGATCACTATAACTAGTGCTTGTTACAAAAACAATTAGCATAATTTTAATTGTACTATTTCTTGGATCGAGCCAAAAGCAGTATTTCATCACATCTGTTAATGTCAAACGCCTTGCAAAGT